TTGTTTTTCTTGGTTCTCTGATTGGGTGATTTTTTTCTTGTCTTCTATGTCAGTGATCCAATCCTTGGCTTTGTCTACTCTGCTGGTCATTCCTTCCAATGTGTTCTTTATTTCTGCTATGTCACACTTCATTTCCAATTCATTGGTTTTCAATGTTTATATATCTTTACTCATGCTGTTGAGCTTTATCATGGTTATTACTCTGACCTCTCCCTCTGATAGCTTGCTTAATTCTATGTCATTTATTTCTTCTCTTGCAGAATTATCTTGTTCTTGCATTTGGGATTTGTTTCTTTGTCTCACCATTTTGGCTGTCTCTGTGGGTTTTGGAGCCTGCCAAATTATCCCTGTGGGTGTTGGTGTACTGTTGGTTGTGACTTCCTCTACTGGTTTGGATAATTGTGAAGGACCCATGTTAAACACCACTGTCAAGTCTTACTTTCCTAGATAGGTTTGCAAGCCAAAAAAAGGTTCAGTTATTCTCTAGCTTTTTGTTTGAAGGCTATTAGTCTCAGTTACTTGATGAGCCTTGATTTGTATCCCTCAGCTGAAAGAATAATCCCTCAGGTGTAATAGGATTTCCAGCTGGTGAGACACATGCTTGCTATCAAACATGTTGTTAATTAGCCTCAATTTGCATTTTTCTGGCCTGGTCTGATAGTGTTGAATTTCTGCCGGAGAGGCTGTTGCTTCTCCCTGGGGTTCTGGGAATGGGCTCTTTAAGTAATATGACTATTGTCCTGTAAGGGAGTGATTCAGCACAAAACTCTCAGTGCCCTCCCCTTCTGCTTTCTTGTGAGACAGGTGCCCCAGACCCACACTGTTCTAGTCCAGTCCATCCTCTCTCTATCAGAGCCCGAGTTGAGTGGCTGTAGCTGATTTGGTGCTTTTTAAAAACCCTGCTTTCTCAGCAGGAAGTACACACAGCTTAAACAATTCTCTGGTGCTGTTCGCAGGCTCCCAGCCTGCTCTCACGTACCTCTGCAGTTTCTGCCAGGCTCAATTTGGCATCCTCGTTCTGTCCCTAGTTGTACAGGTCCTCTCCAGATGCTTTTCAGTTGTTTTTCCTGATGATTTGTCTTTATTTTAGTTGTAATTCCCGTTTAGTCCTGGGAGACCATCTATGTAGCTTACATTCACTCCACTGCCATTTTCCACTCACCTCATGACTATTTTGTAACTACCAATTTGAACTCTTAATCACATGAATTTTCACCCAGTCCCCCAAACCTCTTCCCCTATGACAATTATTACTCTGTACCAAGAGTCTTTTTCTATCTTGTTTGTAAGTTTATTTTTTGTTGTTCATTTATTTTGTTCTTTAGATTCATACATTATTTATCTTTTTCTTTCTGACTCATTTTGCTTAGCATAACACCCTCTATGTCCATCCATGTTGTCACAAATAGTAAGGTTTTGTTCTTTTTGTGACTGAGTAATATTCCATTATATATATGTACTACCACTTTTTTATCCACTCGCCTATTGATGGGCACTTGGTTGCTTCTTTATACTGGCTATTGTAAACAACATTACAATGAACATTGGGGTTGCATACATCTTTTCAAATTAGTGCTTTGGGGTTCTTTGGATAAATATCCAGAATTGGAATCACTGGGTTATAAGGCAGTTCCATTTTTAATTTTTTAAGGAAACTCCATACTGTCTCCATAGTTGCTGCACCAATCTGTATACCCACCAACAGTGCATAAGTATTCCTTTTTCTCTACATCCTCACCAACACTCATTTGTTAATTTATTGATGATAGCCATTCTAATGGATGTGAGGTGAATATCTCTTTGTGGTTTTAATTTGCATATCTGATGATTAGTGATGTTAAGAAACTTTTCATATGGGTCTTGGCTATCTGGATATCCTCTATCTGTATGTCTATTCAGGTTTTCTGACCATTTTTTATTGTATTTTTTGGGAGGTTTTGAAGTTGAATTATTTCAGTCTTAATAAATTTTGGATAGTAACCCCCTATCAGATGTATCATTGGCAATTATAGTCTCCCACTCAGTAAATTGTCTTTTTGTAGTCAATAATATTGGAATAACTGTGTATGGTGTCAGATGGGTGTGAAATTTATTGGAATGATCACTTAGTAAATTATATAAAGTCTAACTACTGAAACTATTTTTACAGTTATTTTTAAATTATTTCAAAATAATTTTTAAAGTCAAAAAATAAAAATAAAAATTGGAAGCAACCCCAAGTATCCAAAATAAGTCATTGGTTTAATAATCTATACAACTCAATCATTAAAGATTAAATTAATTAATATGATTGGGGAAATGTTCATAATATATCAAAAGACAAAGAGCAGGCTACAAAATAGTATGTATGATCTCATCATATATAAAAATGGCTGAGTAAATATGCATTAAACATTTCAGTGGTTATGTTGAGCTTTTTATTATCTTATTTTTGGTTTTCTGTATTTTTTAAATTTTTTAAAATGAGCACATGTAACTTGGTGCAATAAGACAAAACTAACCCAATGAAAGTTTCATTTATAAAAAGAAAAAAATATATATATATGGATAAAGACTATCTAAGCAACATAGTCAATGTGGTAAGTATAATTGATATATATCAAAGTCTGCATTCTGCACAAATAACTTATTAATGAATATGACTATTTTTATGCCATGAATTTAAAATTTTCAATATTTCAAAAATATGAAAAATATACTTCCCCTGATTTTAACTGAATAAAATAAGAAATGATAAAATCAAAATATTAAAAGATCCTCCCATTTTAAAATAAAAAATTCATATTTAGGTAATTCTTACTTTTAACCAAGAATTACAAGAATGTATCAAAATAATGAAAGTATTTTGTGTCGAAGACTATAAAATACAATAAACTACTGCTCAGATAATAACATATATTTTATATACTCATTATAATAAAATAAACAATTTAAACACCTGACTCAGACACAAATCAAAATAAATGGAAGAAAAGTATATAAAGGTATAAGAGTAGACAACAAGTGCATAGATTAACAAGTAAAAATATAGTCAGCTAACCAACAACTAAGTCAAAACTAGATCTTTGTAAAATTAAAGAAATAGTTAAACCTATTTTTTAAATGAATTGAGAAGAATTGATAAGAAATGCAAAGTATTTGATTCAGTTTCATTCAAATAAAATTTAAATCTTTAATGGAACTGATTATTTTCTACCTACATACAAATTACTAAAACTGACTTCAGAAGAAATAGAAAACTAAAACAGTCACAGTTACCACAGAAGAAATACAAAAAAGTTGTCAAACATTTGCTTTTTAATGAAATAAAAGAAGATAAAACACCAGTCCCAGATGGTTTCACATAACCTTTTTTTTAAAAATCCTCACCTGAGGATATGTTTTATTTATTTTAGAGAGAGAGAGAAACATCCATGTGAAAGAAACAGCGATCAGTTGCCTCCTGTACATGCCTTGACTGGATATTGAACCCTCAACCTAGGTATGTGTCCTGACCAGGAATTGAACCCGCAACCAATTTTTGGTGTATGGGACAATGCTCCAACTAACTGGGCCACCCAGCCAAGGCTATTCTATAAGCATTTTAAAGAGCAGATAAAAAATGGTATTTAAATATTCAGATAATAGAATAATTACAGAAAACTTTCACACACAAAAATTAAGAAAACTGAACAATATAAAATAAAAATATATTTTTTAAATAAAGTCCACAGATAAGTGAGATTATACAGTATTTGTCTTTCTCTGTCTAACTTATTTCACTTAGCATAATGCCCTCAAGGTCCATTTATGTTGTCACATATGGCAAGATTTTCTTTATTTTATGGCTGAATAATATTCCATTGTATATATATGCTATATTTTCTTTATTCATTCATCAATTGATGAACACCTAGGTTATTTCCATGTCTTGGCTATTGTAAATAATGCTATGAACATTAGGTGCATGTATAATTTTGAGTTTGTTTTTGCTTTCTTTGGATAAATACCCTGAGGTGGAATTGCTGGATCATATGATAGTTCTATTTTTTTCTACTTACCTTTTACAGAACCTCCATACTGATTTTCATAGTGGCTGCATTAATTTATAATCCAACCAACAGTGCACAAGTGTTCTCTTTTCTCTATATCTTTACTAGTATTATGTTATCTGTGTGTGTGTGTGTGTGTGTGCGCGCGCGTGCGTGTGTGTGTGTGTGTGTGTGTGTGTGTGTGTGTTTATGATAGCCATTCTGACAGGCATGAGGTTTGGATTTGCATTTCTCTGATTAGTGATGTTGAGTACCTTTTCATGTACCTGATGGCCATCTGTGTATTGTTTTTTGAAAAATGTCTATTCAGATACTGTGCCCATTTTTCAATCATATTGTCTAGGAGGGAGGTTGCTATTGAATTGTATGAGTTCTTTATAGATGTTAAAAATTAACTTCTTATCAGATATGTGATTTGGAAATATTTACTCCCATTTAGTAGGTTGCTCTTCCGTTTTATTGAGGACTTCCTTTGCTGTGAAGAAGCTTTTCAGTGTAATGTAGTCCAACTTGTTTATTTTTTTTACTCTTTATACACATAAAGATATATATAAAATATATCTTATTGTTATCTGTGGTAGGTTTAGCTTGATAGAAGTTACTTGGCCAATGCTGGAAGCGAAACTCTGTATATTAATTGATTTAATGATATGGCTTTTCTTAATAATATTTGAATAGGCAAGTTTCTCGAACAAAAATATATGTTGGGTACATAATAGTATACAATAAATATGTGTTGAACACTCCAGTTGGGAATGTTAGTATTATATTTTGGTACAGTGGGTTTCAGCTGTAAATATTCTTTATACTAGAAAAAGAGTAAATCCTTGTTGGGAGTTCTATGGGTGTCAAAGCTTACTAACAGCTTGGGCTAGAAAACTTTAGTTTTTTTATCTCATCTTTGTGAACTGTATGCTTAATGGAACAGCTGACTTGGATCTATTGCTTATGATTACCATCTTGATTCAGGTTAGGTCAAGAATTGGCTATTGTCCTCAATCTGACCCCACGCTTAAGCACATGACGGGTCGGGAATTGTTGATCATGTATGCCAGGTTGCAGGGGGTCCCTGAGCCAAACATCTACAAGTATGTAGAAATATTTTTGCATTCAATGAACCTGGAAACCCATGCTGACAAATTTGTCTACACATACAGGTGAGATATTATATTGTTGCAATTATTCTGCCTACCTGTGTTTTTACTGTTTAGAATGAATGCCTGATCCCTCTGTCAAACAGAGGCAATGAATGTGAAATAGGCTCATGTCCTGTCAGGGTTCAGATGTCAGGAATAAGGCATATCCCATTTGTTTGAAGTTAACCTTTTGCAGACATGAGCTATATAGCCTTTGCATTTCAAAAAGAGCATTTTCATCCCTATATCCCTATAGTTCTTTATCTCCCCAAAACAAAATTATTTCAGCAATAATTATGCTGAAATAAATTACAAAAAAAATGTCATTTCAATAAAAATGAGTGTGTGTATATATATACCTTGGTTGGGGCCTGCTGCTTTGTGATTCGTATCAAATCAGCATTCTGGATATATGAGCTAATTCTGTTTTATGAATTAATGACTTGTATGCCCTCTTTTTTTTCTCCTCCACTTTCCTCTCTCCTTCACTGATGATAAAGTGGAGAAGACAAGCGTAAATTGAACACTACCATTGCCTTAATGGGAAAGCCCTCAGTTGTCTTCCTGGATGAGCCATCTACTGGCATGGACGAAGTAGCCAGGAGGCTGCTCTGGGACACAGTGACGTGCTTGTGTAAAACCGGCAAGGCTATCATTATAACTTCCCACAGGTGCGACCTACTGAGAGGTTTGGTGGAGAGTTGGAAGAGTAGAGGAGGGTTAGTTGGAGCCGGGAATATAAGTCAGTGAACTTATCTAAGTATATGAGCTATATACAAAAGAGGTGCTGTGGGTAGAGGCTAATTTTGCTAAAGCCAAGAGTCCTAAATTGAGTTTCAGAATCCAGAATCAACAGAAAATAGGAAGTAAGGGAACTCTATCATGGATTTAGGAATCAACTGCTTTGAATTTTTAAATCTTCTCTTCCCAAATATGGTCTTAGTGGTGATTTTCTGCAATATCAAGCTTTCCTACTGCAAAAACTGCCTTATAGTCTTAGCTCTGTTTGGCAGTACTGAATTTGCCCTCTCAAAGAGAGTTTGTTTAGCCAAATCCTCTTTGTCTCTGCAGCATGGAAGAATGTGAGGCCCTCTGTACCAGGCTGGCCATCATGGTGAAGGGGAGGTTCAGGTGTCTAGGCAGCCCTCAGTACCTCAAGAACAAGTTTAATGATATATACACCCTGACAGTAAAGACTAAGATTGATAAGAATGGAAGTAAACTAAAGGAGTTCAAAGAGTTCATTGCAACAACATTCCCAGGTAATATAGGTAGGGCTGACCTGTGACAATTGTGTTATGTCATGTATGTAATGAAAATAAATCAAGTATAGCTTTACACAACAATATAGATGAAAGAAGACTTAAAATAATGCATTCTATATGGTTGCATTTATATGAAGTACAAAGAAAGCAAAACCAAACTCTAGTATTTAGGATTCCATATTTAGGTAATTATAAAAAATAGCAAATGAATGCTTACCATAAAAATAAAGGTAGTTACTTTAAGGAGGAGGAAGTGAGTCTTAGGTGTCGGTACATGTTTGTTAACTTTATTATTATTCACTATGCTGCACATTTGTTTTGTACACTTTTTATGTTTGCTATATTTCACAATTGTAAACTGTTTTTAGAGTTTTACTTATGTATAGATGCTATGTGGGGACTCATTAACAAAAAAATTTCCTACTATTATTGACATATAGCTTATTTATTTAAATATTTTAATCCCAATTCATTTCATTTGCAATAATCTCCAACTGTATGATAATAAATATAAATGCATCCTACTAATTAAGAATGGTTACAATATTACTACTATATTTTCAAAAGCTGTAATAACTCATTACTCCAGTGAATGCCTTCACTTCTGTGTTTTATATAATGAATTTTATCTTTCCTTTACAATGAAGGTTGCCTCATGATGAGAATACTATAGAGATCCTAAAACACACACACACACAACTGGAAAAAAGAAACCACACCCCAATTTTATGAGTATAGTTTCGAGATAATGTTTATAAATAGTTCTATAAAACGTTAGGGTTCATATACATCAGGACTGGCAAAGTGAGCATATGCACTATTAATTTCTCAGTGCCTAAAAGTGATTACTCCAGCCTCCACAATTTTTACAAACTACAGACAATAAGACCATATTTCATCACATGGATGTAAAGCTACTGAAATATTTAACAAAGTCACATGGGCTAAAAAGAAAGGGCTTTGGGATTGTCATCTTTTGTATTAATTGCATATATTATCTCTTCCATTGTTGTGGACAATTGGAATGGAAATTATTGGAAAATGTTGTAAAACTCAATCAAATGTGGGGCCCTCTCTGTTACTCACTGTCCAATCTTTCTTAGGTAACATCATAAACCAGGAATATCAAGGAATTATTTACTACCACATTCCCAGAAAGGAAATTTGCTGGGGAAAGGTGATTATTAAAATCATACCAATATTCACATCATGTGTTAATAGAGGACTAGCAAGAACTGGGACTCAGGCCTGTGGAATGGGAGCCTGACATTGTCAGAGAAGGAAATCTTTTACTTTCTTTTCTTTTTTTTTTAACTTATCTTTATTGTTAAATGTATTACAGATGATCCTTCTTTTTCCCCTATTGACCTCCTCCTCCCCACTCCCACCCCCTTACTGCCTTTTCCCACACTATTGTCTTTGTTCACTGGTTATGCATATAAGGTTTTTGGTTTATTTCTTCCTACTCCTCCTACCCCCCTTCCCTTTGAGATTTGTCAGACTAACAACCAATTTGTACTTTTTGCCCCCAATTTTTATTAATATATTTTTGTTACATATGTTTCTCTTTATCCCCCCCAGAATACCTCCTCCCCATCCTGCTCCTCACCCCACCCCCCAACATTGTTGTCTATGTCCACTGGTTATGAATACATGCATATAAGTTTTTTGGTTCACCTCATCCATCCCCCCTGACCCCTTCCTCTGAGGTTTGTCAGTCTGAGCCATACTCCTTTCTAGGTCTGTGGGTCTGTTTCATTCATCAGACCACCTTATTCATTGTATTCCACAAATAAGTGAGATCATGTGGTATTTGTCTTTCTATGACTGACTTATTTCGCTTAGCATAATACTATCGAGGTTTCTCCATGTCGTCTCAAAGCATAAGAGATCTTTCTTTCTTACAGCTACATAGTATGCCATTGTATATATGTACCACAGCTTTTTTATCCACTCATCTATTGATGAACACTTTAGCTGTTTACAGATCTTAGTGATTGTAAATAGTGCTGCTATGAACATAAGGGTACATATAATCTTTCTGATTGGTGTTTGAGGCTTCTTAGAATATATTCCTAGAAGTGGGATCACTGGGTCAAATGGCAGATCAATTTTTAATTTTTTGAGAAAATACCATACTGTTTTCCATAGTGGCTGCACTAGTCTGCATTCCCACCAGCAGTGTACTAGAGTCCCCTTTTCTCAACACCCTCACCACACTTGTTGTTTGATGATTTGTTGATTGCAGCCATTCTGACAGGTGTGAGGTGATACCTCATTGTTTTAACTTGCATCTCTCTGATGATTAGTGATGTTGAGCATTTCTTCATATGTCTCTTAGCCATTTGTATATCCTGTTTGGAGAGGTGTCTATTTATGTCCTCTGCCCATTTTTTAATTGGGTTCTTTGTTTTCCTTTTGTTGAGTTGTATGCGCACTCTATATATTTTGGAAATTAACCCCTTATCTGATGTTGGCAATTATTCTCTCCTATATGGGTTCCCTTTCCATTTGGATGATTGTTTCTTTTGCTGTGCAGAAGCTTTTGAGTTTGATATAGTCCCATGTGTTCATTTTTCCTTTATTTCTGTTGCCTTAGGTGATATATCAGTGAAGATTCTGCTGCGTATGATGCCTGAAAGTTTGTTACCTACATTTTCTTCTAGGATTTTTATGGATTCATGAGTCACATTTAAGTCTTTTACCCATTTTGAGTTTATTCTTGTGTTTGGTGTAAGTTGATGATCTAGTTTCATTTTGTTGCACGTAGCTGTCCAATTTTCCCAACACCATTTATTAAAGAGGCCGTCTTTACTCCACTGTATGCTCTTGCTCCCTTTGTCAAATATTAATTGAGCATAATGTCTTGGGTCAATTTCCGGGTTCTGTTTCATTGATCTATATGCCTGTTCTTATGCCAGTGCCAGGCTATTTTGACTACAATGGATTTGTAGTATAACTTGATATCCAGTATTGTAATCCCACCTTCTTTTTTATTCTTTTCCAAGATTGCTGTGGTTTTTCGGGGTCTTTTTTGGTTGCATATGAACTTTTAAAGTATTTGTTGTAGTTCTGTGAAATATGTCGTTGGTATTTTGATGGGGATTGCATTGAATCTATAGATTGCTTTGAGCATTTTAATGATGTTAATTTTTCTAATCCATAAACAAAGTATGTGCTTCCACTTTTTTCTATCGTTCTCTGTTTCTTTTCTCAATGTCCTGTAGTTTTCTGCAAATAGGTCCTTTACTTCTTTGGTTAAATTTATTTCTAGGTTATCTTAATTTTTTGCTGCAATGGTAAATGGGATTGTTTTTTTAGTTTTCTTTCTGTGAGTTCATTATTGGTGTACAAGAATGCTGTCAATTCCTTGATGTTAATTTTGTATCCTGCTACCTTGCCAAATTTGTTTATTAAGTCTAGTAGATTTTTGATGGAGTCTTTAGACAATATCATGACATCTGCAAATAATAACAGTTTAACTTCCTCCTTTCCAATTTGAATTTATTTTATTTTTTCTTCATGTCTGATTGCTGTGGCTATGACTTCCAGTATTATGTTAAATAAGAGTAACAAAGGTGGGCATCCCTGTCTTGTTCCTGTTCTTAAGAGAAGTGCTTGTAGTTTTTGTTCATTGTGTATGATGTTGGCTGTAGGTTTTTCATATATGGTCTTTATTATATTGAAATATGATCCCTCTATTCCTACATTGCTGAGCGTTTTTAGCAGAAATAGTGCTGCATTTTGTCGAATGCTCTTTCGGTATCTATTGATGTGATCATATGGTTTTTATCTTTCATTTTGTTTATGTAGTGTATCACATTTATTGATTTGAAAATATTGTACCAGCTTTGCATCCCCCAGATGAATCCCACTTGGTCATGGTGAATAATTTTTTTAATGTGTTCCTGGATCTAATTTGCTATTATTTTGTTAAGGATTTTGACATCTGTGTTTATCAGGGATATTGGCTTGTAGTGTTTTTATCTGGTTTTAGAATTAGAATTATGCTGGCCTCATAAAAAAAAGTTCGAAAGTCGCCCTGGCCAGTTTGGCTCAGCGGTTAGAGCGTCAGCCTGCAGTCCGGAGAGACCCAGGTTCAGTTCCCGCTAAGGGCGCGTACCTCGGTTGCAGTTTGTCCCCAGCCCTGGTCGGTTGTGCGGGTGGCAGCCACTCGATGTGTTCCTTTCATATCGATGTTTCTCTCTCTCTCTCTCTGTTCCTCTCTCTCCCTCCCACTCTACCTGAACAAAAAAATGGAAAAATGTCCTCGGGTGAGGATAAAAAAAAAAAAAAAGTTTGAAAGTCTTTTTTCTTATGAATTTTTTTGAATAATTTGAAGAGAATTGGTTTTAGTTCTTCCTTGAATATTTGGTAAACCTCCCTGGTGAAGCCGTGTGGGCCTGGGCTTTTGTTTACTGGGAGAGTCTTGATTACATCTTCAATTATCTTAGTTGTTACTGGTCTGTTCAAGTTTTCTATCTCTTCATCGTCCAGTTTTGGGAGACTATGTGTTTCTAGAAATTTGTCCATTTCACTTAGATTGTTGAATTTCTTGCCATATAATTAATTGTTCATAGTAGTTGTTAACAATCTTTTGTATTTCTGTAGTGTCAGCTGTTACTTCTCTTTCGTTTCTGATTTTGTGTATTTGAGTTCTCTCTCTTTGTTTCTTGGTGAATCTAGCTAAGGGTCCATCAATCTTTTTTGTTTGTTTGTTTGTTTGTTTTCTGATTGGTTGATTTTTTTTCTACTACTGTCTTCTAATTCACTGATCCGGTCCTCAGCTTCCTCTACTCTGCTGGTTAGTTCTTCCAATGTGTTCTTTATTTCTGATATGTCATTCTTCATTTACCTCTGGTGGGTTTTTAGTGTTTCAATATCTTTACTCATGGTGTTGAGTTCCTTATTCATGCTGTTGAGCTTCCTCAAGATCATGGCTCTAAACTCTACCTCTGATAACTTGCTTAACTACATTTCATTTATCTCATCTTCAGTAGAGTTCTCTTGTTCTTTCATTTGGGATTTGTTTCTTTGTTTCACCATTTTGGCTATCTTAATGGGGTTTGGAGCCTGCCAAATTTTCCCTGTGGGTGTTGGTGTTCTGCTGTTTGTGGCTCCCTCTACTGAGTTGAGTGTGGGAGGACTCACATTAAACACCACTGTCAAGTCTTACTTTCCTGGGTAGATTAACAAGTCTAGGAATCATTCAGTTATCTTCTAGCTTTTTGCCTGGAGGCTATTAGTCTCAGTTACTTGATTGGGTTATAGCTCTCAACTGAATGAAAAACTCCCTCAGGTGTTCAGGGTAAGAGGTTTTCCAGAGGGTGGGACAGATGCTCATTGTTAATGAGCCTCAATTTGCATTTCTCTAGCCCAGCTGAGTGGGGTTAACTCTCCAAGGGAGGGGCTGCCACTTCTCCCAGGGTTCAGGGAAGGGGCTCCTCGAGCAAGATGTCCCCTCTCCTGTGAGGGCATGACTCAGCAAAAGCTCTCAGCACCCTCCAAATCTTGAGTCTCCCCACATAGTTCTAGTTCAGTCCATCCTCCTTCTGCCAGAGCCCAAGATGAATAGCTGTAGCTAATTTAGTGCTCTGTCCCAGCCCTCTCACTCTGGAGCTGGCTTAGGATTTTAACCCCAAGGGAGCTGCTCACAGCTAAAACAGTTGCAGTCCATGGGTTCTCAGCCTGCCCTCTTGTGCCTCTGTAGACCTACCAGACTCAATTCAGTGTCCTTTTTTTCTGTCCCTGGTTATATGGGTCCTCTCTAGCTGCTTTTCTGTTTCTTTATCCCAATGATTTATCATTATTTTAGCTGTAATTCCAGTTGGGTCCTGGGAGATGATCTATGTAGCTTCCATTTACTCCACCACCATTTTGGAATTCCCAATTTTTACTTCTTAATCCCTTCATCTTTTTCACCCATTCCCCAACCTTTCTCCCATCTGGCAACCAACAAAATGTTCTCTGTATCTATGAGAGTGTTTCTGTTCTGCTTGTTCATTTTGTTTGTAGATTCAATTGTCGATAGATATGTATTTATTGAAATTTTGTTTGTTCATATTTTTTATCTTCTTTTTCTTCAGAAAGACCCTTTCAACATTTCAGATAATACTGGATTGATGGTGATGAACTCCTTTAGCTTTTGCTTGTCTGGGAAACTCTTTATATGTCTGTCCATTGATTCTAAATGATAGCTTTGCAAGATAGAGTAATCTTGGTTGTAGGTTCTTGCTTTTCATCAATCTGAGTATTTCCTGCCACTCCCTTTGACCTGCAAAGTTGCTTTTCAGAAATCAGCTGACAGCCTTATGGGAGTTCCCTTGTAGGTAACTAACTGCTTTTTCTCTTGCCGTTTTTAAGATTTTCTCTTTGTCTTGAACTTTGGGCATTGTGATGATGATGTGTCTTCATATGCACCTCTTGGGGTTCATCTTGTTTGGGACTTTCTATGCTTCCTGAACTTGTATGTCTGTTTCCTTCACCAGGTTAGGGAAGTTTTCTGTCATTATTGTTTCAAATAGGTTTTCAATTTCTTGCTCTCTCTTCTCCTTCTGGCATCCCCATGATGTGAATGTTGGTACTCTTGAAGTTGTCTGAAAGGCTCTTTCCACTATCCTCATTTTTATGTTTTGTTTTTTTTCCTTTTCTGACTGGGTGATTTTTGCTTCCTTATATTCCAAATCAAAGGTTTGCTTCTCGGATTTACCTATTTTACTATTGAATCAGTGTAAATTATTCTTTATTTCAGTTAGTGCATCCTTCATTTATGACTGGTCCCTTTTATGCTCTTGAGGCCCTCACTAAGTTCATTGAGCATCCTTGTAAGCAGTGTTTTGAACTCTGCATCTGTTAGATTGCTTATCTCTATTTCTTTTAGTCCCTTTCCTGGAGTTTCCTATTCTTTCATTTGGGACATGTTCCTTGTCTTCTCGTTTTGGCTGCCTCCCTGTGTTTGTTTCTATGTATCAGGTTTAGAGTTGCTATGTCTCCTGGGCTTCCTAGGGTGGTCAATTTATAGTAGGTGTCCTGTAGAGTTCAGTGGCACAGCTTCCCTGGTCTCCCAGCTGGGCCCTTGAGGTGCACCCCTCGTGTGGACTTTACAACCTTCTGTTGTAATTGAGTCTCTATTGCTATTGGTGCATCAATGAGAGGGTTTTACTCAAGCTGATCAGCTGCAAGGACTGATTGTGCCTACTATCCACCAACCTCTGACTACTTTGAATGATCAGCTGTGCAAGGGCCCACCACACAGAACAAGACTTACTTCCCCAAGGCTCTGCTACCCACTGGGTCAATTCCTTAAGTGTGTCACTTGTGGAGGTGGTTGGGTAGTGGTGCTTTGCAGTGTTCTGAAGCTGTCCACTGGGTGTGCTGGTTCTGGGTCAAGGTCAGCCACTGCCTGTGTTCTACCCAGGGCCACCAGGCATTAGCTATGAAGTAGTCTGCAGCTTTCTGCTTCTTGTGCTGGGGTTGGCGGTGTCCAGGCAAAGCCAAGTTGTGAACCAAGACTGGCTGCTCCTAGTGCTGGGCCTGGAGCCACTTAACAAGAGGTATGGGGCTCGCTGAGACCAGATGCTGCTACTCTAGAGAATTAGGGAAATCTGAAGCAGGAACCAAGACAAGCCATTCCTATGGTAAAGCTACTGGGAACAGCTTGGTGGACCTGAAAGGTGGGTGGGGCAGGGCTTCAGGGAATCACCAAGGTGGGGCAAACAGTGTGGGCCAGGTTGCCTGAGTCCCAGATATGGTGCCCATTTGCCAGCCTTTTGGGGGAAGGGCTCACCATAGTAACAAAGACCTCCAACAGCACATCTGTCCAGGAGATAGCTGCCTCTCCAGCCCTCACTCCAGTGCCAAACAACTCAGTTCTTTCCCATATGTCTTTGGTGCCTTTCAAGCTCTCTTCCCCATACTGGAGACCAGAGGGAGTGGGTCCAAGTAAGTCCATGAGTGGGCCCTTTAAGGGGAGTTGCCTGGGCCTCCAGAAGCCTCAGCCTCCCTCAGTCTCAGTTTCCACTGGTTTTTATTGCCAGAAGTTTCAGGGACTTCTCTTCCTGACACTAGAACTCTGAGCTGGTGGCCTGGTGTGGGACGGGAACCTCTCACTCTTCACAGAGAATCTTCACAGCTCAAGTATCGTCCTGATTTTTATCCACCACACGTGAGCGTGGGCACTGTCCGTCAACCTTCACCCTTCCTACCAGTCTCGATGTGGCTGCTTCTTTAATCTCATAGTTGTACGACTTTTATTCAGCTCAGTTTCAGGTGGTTTTGAATGATGGTTGTTCTGTAATTTAGTTGTAATTTTGATGTGGTTGTGGGAGGAGGTGAGACAACATTTACCCACGCCACCATCTTCACCAGAAGTCTTTTAACTTACTTTTCAATGTCCCTGTAGTAGGACTGGGACATCTGACCCTAAATTCTATTATTCCATGCCTATCAAGAGAATAAGTGTGGAGAACTGCCTTCTCTTCTCTCTGCTTTCCAACCATCTTTTTCTTCTACTTTCTAACTTTTCCCTTCTATATCTTTTTGTCCATAAGCATAATCCTGGCAGCAGTTGGGGAATGACTGGGTGAGAAAAAGGCTCATCTGGGGATATTGCAATGGTAACACCATTTTTTTTCTATTAAAGGTGTTTAATATTTTGGAGGAAGCTAAAGTTCTATTCAATTTAGAAGACTATTCCATCAGGCAGATAACACTGGAGCAAGTCTTCCTGGCCATTGCTAATGTTGATAAGATGGAAAATGATCAAGAAATAAAGCTGCTATGAAATTTAATTCCAACCAGTGACCTTTATGTCTTTTTTAAACTGCTGCCTGCAACTAAGTGTATAGAAGAACCTCTTTCATCTCTTATTCTTATTCTTTTTTCTCCTTCCCTCCTCCTCCTTCTCTCTTCTCCCTATTCTCCCACTGTCTCACTCCACTTCTGTGTGTGTGTGTGTAAACCAAAAAGAAAGTTTTCAATCTTTGGAGATAATGACAAGTAACCTGTTGTCAAGAACTGAACTGTGAAGGGTCTGAGATCTTACCCTTCTTGCAAGTTATCAAATTAGCTTAGCACAGTTTCACTAACACTGGCAGAAGACATTGGAATCCTGAGTCAAAGACACAGGACTTTATTACTCACAACATAGCAGTAGTCAGATATCATATTTATGCCAGTTTTCCAATCCCTAATTTTCACAAGGCAACAAAAAGAAATCCAGGAAATGCCTGTATAATCAGTGGGTTGTGTTATAAGAGAGGAACCATAAGCTTATGAAACAAAAATCTTTTATAATGGGCCAGAAGTATACCTATCCAAGTTTTGCTCTGGAAAAAAACATTGTGACTATACAGAATGAACATTCTAACTATAGTGAACATAACATAAATCTTCCCTCTAGCCCCAAGGGAGATACTATGTCTTTTCTTTTTTTTTTTTTTTTTTTTTCAATCCTCAGCCGAGGACATTTTTTCGTTCAGATAGAGTGGGAGGGAGAGAGAGGAAGAGAGAGAAACATCGACGTGAAAGGGACACATCGAGTAATTGCCACCCGCACAACCCAACCAGGGCCGGGGACAAACTGCAACCGAGGTACGTGCCCTTAGCGGGAACCGAACCCGGGTGTCTCTGGACAGCAGGCCGACGCTCTAACCACTGAGCAAAACAGGCCAGGGTGATACTATGTCTTTTCAAGGGCCATCTGCTCTACAATCATCCTTGCAAAAATGGTCTGAAACAACGAGGCAGTTAGTCTTCTACTTGCAAGTCACGCAGAGATGCAAGAGACCTATGAAGAACTGTCTCTCAAAAATATCCACCCCTTGTTTCCACACTTGTTATCTTGGCTTCTGGCAAATAATTCCATGAATATGCCACCCCATCAGCCATTCTAATTAATCTGAGATTGGGACAAAATTTATTTGCCTCATACAATTTTTAAGGCCATTATCAAGAGAACTCCAAGCAGCATGATGAAGCAAACCTGCAGTGTTTGACCTCAACCATGTGCCCCGGGGTCTCAGATCCAAGTAGCTGAACAAATCCTATAAACAACTGAGTCTACCTCAGAAAGTCAAGGTCTTTTTCTTTACATTTCTATACTGAACACTCCACTTGGCTGATTCTATCCTTTATAATTACTATAATTCAAATGTGAGATGTCCTACATTAAGTGATTTATGTTCCTTTTGTTTTTCCAATATTATTTTCTTTTTCTGCATTTTTAAAGATTGCCTCCATTTCATCTTCCATCCATTCATTTTTTGTTTTTTCTTTTAAGGAATGATGTTTCTCATTTCAAAGAGTTCTTACCCCTCTAGTGACCTCTTTAAAAAAAAAAAAAAAAAAAGCATCCTGTGGTTGTATGCATTGCCATATGTTCTTAGGTTGGAGGATTCTACCCTTGCAGCTGCTCAGTTCTGCACCCTACCTAACTGGCACGACTATTCTGGACAGTTTACATTTTTCCTATATGTTTAAAATCTCCAAATGACATGCCACTCCAAGCCCTGGGCCTCTCCAGAACTGCATGGAAAATCTGCCCCAGATCTCCCTCTTACATGCACAATAGGCAGGCAATTTCTCTTGTTTTCATTTGTCAGCACAAGTCCATCTGCTCATCTACTGTTAGAGGTTTATTTTCATTCCATTCATTTTAGTTACAAGTGAGATCACCAACATAAAAAGGAATAATTTGTGGCAACCAAAATATAAAATGAAAGGGGGGGGAGGTCTAAACTGACAGAGGTGAATAAAGGCCAGATTAGCCCAGCTGGTGTGATTCAATGGTTGAGCATCAACCCCTGAACCAAGAGGTTGCCAGTTCAATTCCCAGTCAGGGCACATGCCCAGGTTGTGGGCCAAATCCCTCATGTGGTACATGCAGGAGGCAGCCAATTGATATTTCTGTCTCTCTCATCAATGTTTTTGTCTCTCTCTCTCCCTTCTTCTCTCTCTAAAATCAATAAAGAAAATAAAATTTTAAAAAGGACTACTGTATATATGAAACTTTCTTGTTCATAAATCTAATGGTAAACACACACACATGCAACTGAGACACTTAGCATACAAAAAAAGGAAACAGAGGAAAGAAGTATGGAATACCACCAAACAAAAACACAAAGTGAAAGAACCAGTAGAGGCACAGAGCTGCCAGAAGACAAAAGATAAAATGGCTACAGGAAATTCTCATACATCAATAATTGCCCTAAGTGTACATGGACTGACCTCACCAATAAAGAGGCCCAGAGGAGCAGACTGGATCAAAAACAAAACCCAGCTATATGCCACCTTCAGGAGACACATCTCAGCTGCAAGAGCAAAGGTTGACTCAAAGTGAAAGGATGGGAAATGATTCTTCAATCAAATCAATTCTACAGAAAAGCAGGTGTAGCTGTACTTACATGTGACAAAACAGATTTCAAGATAACAAAGACAACAAGAGACAAAGATGGACATTTTATAATGATAAAGAAGACACTACATCAAGAAAACATAATACTTCTCGATATGTATGCACTCAGGAAGCACCAAAATATTTAAAGCAACTGCTAACAGAACTAAAGAGAGAAACAGACCAAAACACAATCATAGTTGGGGAACTTAGTACTCCATTGACAGCTCTAGACAGATCATCCAAACAACAAAATCAACAAAGAAATATCAATCTTAAATGATACATTAGACCAAATGGACATAATTGACATCTACAAAGCCTTTCATTCCAGAACATCAGCATATACATTCTTCTCCAGTGCACATGGAACATTTTCAAGGATAGACCACATATTGAGTCACAAAAGTGGCCTCAACAAAGTCAAGAAAATTGAAATTATACCAAGCATATTCTCTGATCACAATGCCTTGAAATTAGAAATCAACTGCAAAAAGTAAGTTTAAAAACACAAATATGTGGAGATTAAACAATACTACTAAAATATGACTGGGTAAAGAAAAAAATAAAAGATAAAATCAAAATATATAGGCCCCTGGCCCATGTGACTCAGTGGATTGGAGCCTCATCCCATGCACTAAAGGGTCACAAGTTTGACTCCCAGTATGGGCACATACCCAGGTTGTGGGTTGGGTCCCTAGTCAGGATGCTTATGGAAGCAACTAATAGACGTTTCTCTCTCACATTAATGTTTCTCTTTCTCTTCCTCTTCCTTCCACTCTCTCTAAAATCAATTTTTAAAAAATTTCATGTGAGTATTAAAAATATATAGAGAGAGAAATTAGAATGACAACATGAAATATTAAAACTTTTGGGATGCAGAAAAAGCAGTATTAAGAGGGAAGTGTATATCATTTTAGGCCTACCTCAAGAAACAAGAGAAAGCCCAAGTTAACAACTTAACATTACATCTTGAAGGATTATAGAAAGAAGAACAAAAGCAACCCAAAATGAGCAAAAGAAAGGAAATAAAAGAGCAGAATTGAATGAAATAGACAACAAAAGCCTATACAACAATTAATACAACAAAAAGCTGGGTTTTTTAAAAGATTAATAAAACTGACAAACCCGTGGCTAAACTCTCTAAGAGAAAAAAACAAATCAGAAATAAAAGAGGAGAAATTATAACAGATATACAAAGGATCATACTAGAATACTATGAAAGACTATATACCACCAAATTCAATAACCTGGAAGAAATGGATAAGTTCCTAGAAAAATATAACCTTCCTAAATTAAATTATGAAGAAATCAAAAATCTAAATAGACCAATAAACAATGAGGAAACTGAAACAACCCTCAGAAACCTCCCCAAAAATAAAAGTTCAGACCATATGGCTTTACAAGTGAATTCTACCAAACGTTCAAAGATTTGATACCTATTATTCTCAAACTCTTCCAAAAACATTCAAGAAGAAGCAATACTTCCTAACACATTTTATGAGGCCAGCATAGCCCTGATACCAAAACTTGGCAAGGATAACACTAAAAAATAAAATTATAAATCAATATCTCTGATGAATATGGAGGCAAATTTTTTAAACAAAACACTGACAAATAGAATACAATGATACAATAAAAATAATAATACAACATGGTCAAGTGGAGTTTATTCCAGAGGTGCAAAGATGGTTCAACATTTGCAAATTGATCAATCTGATACACCACATCAGAAAATCAAAGAATAGGTTACTTTCGATTAAGATGGCGGAGTAGGTAAACACGGTATCGTGTCCTCCCACAACCTCATCAAAGTTACAACTAAACTACAGAACAACCATCATTCAAAGCTGCCTGAAATCAAGCTGAATGGAAGTCTTACAACTACGGAATTAAAGAAGCCGCATGGAGACAGGTAGGAGGGGTGGATACGCGACAGGCTGGTCCCACACTCACTTGTGGTGGATAAAAATTAGGAGGATACCTCAACTGGGAAGGTCCTCCCTGAGGACTGAGGGGTCCCCGTCCCTCACCAGGCACCCCACTCAGGGTTCTAATGCCAGGAAGAGAAGGCCCCATAACTTCTGGCTTGAAAAACCAATAGGAACTGAAGCTCAGGGAGACGGAGGCTGCTGGAGCCCCAGACAGATCCTCTTAAAGGGCCAGCGCACAGACTTATCAGATTTCCTGAAGCCCCACCCCACCCAACATTCAGGCCTACCCAAGCTGTTACCAGTTACTTTACAATAGGATTGGCCTGTCTTGGATCCTGCTTCAGGTTTTCCTAAATTTTTTCAAACAAGCAGCATCTGGTCTCAGCTAGCCCCATACCTCTCATTAAATAAAACATAGAAACAAACAAAGGGAGGCAGCTAAAATGAGGAGACAAA